TTCATCATCATAAATAGCAGTGATATGGATATTGTATTAATTGACATAAACTTAAAAATTTCGACTGAAATATATGAAGATTTTTTTTGTTGAACATTATCCAACCTTATATATTGATATACGATAATATCATCCTGTTGTGGTTTGATAAGATTATGAAATTATCAATCTAAATTTACATGTTTGTATATATATATATACATAACTAAAATATTTTATTTATTGTGTTTAAATTAAGCATTAAAATTTTTACAAAATGTGATAAATCTTTTTTATATGATTTTTAGATTAAATGAATTTTTTCACTAATTCTTATCTATTTGTAAATTTTGATGATTAAAATCAGAACTTGAGATTCAAGTGGTTTTTAATATAGATAAAATTTTCAAGCTTAAATTCTGAAAAACTTAATCAAAATTTTCAGTTAAATCAAGAACATTACGTATACTTTTTGAAAGTATATATGTGAATTTCTTCATTGATGATATATCAATTTAAATTTATATATAATCTATGTTGGCTTTAAAATATATAAATTTTTTTCAAAATTTTTTTTTGTACTTTTTATTCTGAAGATTTTATATCAAACCAGATTCTATTTTCATTTTTAAGATTATTCTTGCTCTTTTGAAACTTTTATTTTTTATCAAACGACTGACATTTTGACACAGTGACAGTTCAACGGTCAACCTCCGGCTAGCTAAGTTTAGCTAGCTCACCGCATGGACTGGGGTTACATAACCCAGGAACTCTTGACTCTAACTATCACTCTTCACATGTTAATCATAAGCTCTGTGATTCCCTACCGTGGATGTAGCCGACGTTACATGGATAGTTGTGATTTTATTGTCACTTGTATTTATTGATTCTCGTGTAAGTGTTGAAAAAATTTTTGCCATGTTGCCATCATACATCATTGGAATATTCATCAATATACTGTAAAAATGCTTGAAAACTAGATTATAAACATGCAATGAAATTTGAATCGTTTGAGATATAAGCCTGACCTTATTTTCCATGTGTAAATCATCCGCGGTTCATGAATATTATCTTCAGATTATTTTGTAAGAGAAAGAGAAGATGATTCCCGGCTATCTAGAATATTATCTACGATACGAAATTCGAGCCTCAAGACTTTTATCTAGTTGGTTATTTTTTTTCGTAATGCAGTAGTATTTTTTTAGATTGAACTCCGTTTTATCCCATCCAGTTGAGCAGATAGATATAGGAGAGCGAAATTGGGGTGGAAGCTATGCACACGGATCGAAAGCAATTCTACCGGCGAAACAGAACAGGAAACAGCATTTACAATAAAATCAGTTAATTCTGGACAGAACCTGCTACGTTTTCATTTTCCATGTCTCCAGGATCAGGATGGCAAGAAAGATCGCACAGCCTTCGGTTAGTGGTCCACACTTTTCTTGCCTCCATCCAACGCGATGAAAAAGAAAATAAAATAAAAAATAAAAAATTAATTAGTATTATCCTCCGGAACAAAGAGACGAGGAAAACGAAGAGACGGTGGAAATGGAGAGAGTGGGGTAGGGAAAAGTGTCCGTTTGGTTGCGCTCCCCGACCCTGTTTTCGCGCATGGCCACATACAGATCCACAGATCCGTCCAAAGCATATGGGGGAGAATACGAACGTTGGGGGCAACAACCTGGAGGGCAGGGAGGGATCCATTGACTTTAGGATCCGCTACAAAGTCGTACTGTGCAGAGGTCCTGGAAGTTGACAAAATAGTGCGAGTCGCTGGAGGATTGGGGGTCGGGTGTTTCTGCCTGGTCAGAGTCAGAGGTTCTGTTGTTGGTGTTGGTGCATGACTGGCAAGCACAGGATGACAACAATGCAGCCAGTCAACCCAGAGAATAAACAAGGCGAAACAACTCTGTCACATCGGGGCTGCTTGACAGACCGCTGCCACAAGGGTGTCCAGATGTCTTCCAGCTAGGCCAGAGAGAGGGGGCCAGCGGACAGACATTTCATACTTCTGTATGAGATCACGAAGACTGCAGCAGCAGCACCGGAGAGAGGTCTAGCTAGAGTTCTTCTGAATACATCGTCGGACTGTGAATCGATGAGACTCGGATTTGTGAGGTTCGATGGATTCTGATTGGGATTACTACCGAACACCAAATATAGAATCACAGACGGTGCAGGTCAGTGTAAAAGCCAAGGATATGGGTATGAATTGGCCGATGGGAGAATGAATTACCCGCTCAGTAGGTGCGGTTTGTGCATCTTCGGAAGAGAAACAGACGATGCTTTTCACTTCCATGAAATTCTAAATCGCATGCGATCCGAGTTTCGTGTTGGACTATAGGGCCAGTAGTGGGAGAGTATGGATCCGAAGAGAGCCGAATGCAACGCAACGCAGGGCATGGGATGGCATGGCATGGCATGGCAGTGTGGCATGACCCCGGCAGGCAGGCAGATACTGAGCACTTCCTGCGTTGGTGCGTGCTCGCGTGCCTGCTCGCGTGCCTGCTTGCCTGCCCCTTGAGGTCGTACGGGAGAAGCTGCGAAGTAGCGGGCGGGCGGGGGTGCCTCGTCTAATGGGCAAGGTCCAAGGGCCCCATGAATGAGGTGATTTTGCGAATATATGAATGATCCGGTGCAGATAATGGGCAGCGTAAGGCTGGACCAAGGGCTTGTGCTGACCTCGACGAAGATCGTAACATTCTTTATGAGAACTGAATAGATTGATGCCAAACTTCGCTACCATTTAAGGCCCACAGCACATTACTTGATCTCTACAACACCCCCACCGGGATTGATATCTCGTACCTCGATCGGATGATATCAATATCAATATCTGTGCCGAATGAATTTATCAGCTCGACTCTAGAGCCTGCAGACGAAGACTTCCTAATGCTCCGGATATTAATGTACAGGCCACATATTTACTGCTCTCCGTCCGTGTACACTATGCATGCGCTCCTGTGTTTTGATTGGAGTGAGTTAAGCCTATCGGTGAGTTCCATGTTGAGATGACGTATCCAGGAAGGGAGAACTTTTGTTGAGTTTATCAGGCGTTGTCATGATAGAAACAAACATAGACTAAAGCGACCCTTGCCATTACTGAAATTGACTCGAATTTCAACGAGCCAATACTCCTGAAGGGTCCGGCAGCGGTCCACGGGAACCATTCATACTCAAGTAATGTACTCCTTTAAGTTGCTATATTATATCGAACGTACTGGAAGAGGGAAATGTGCCTTGAAACTTTACCGTGTCAACATATATCGTTCCTGCAGGAGTCACTGCAACATCTGCACACAATATCTTATCATCCTTGTATCATACCTGAGACATTCAACCCAGTTAGTTGGCCGTGATGCAGTATGTGGGAAACTATATCCACGGCCTTCCCAAGGGTACGTGGATATAGTTTACTATTTATTTATGTGTTATTTTTTATTGTGTATTGTTATAGTTTGTACCAAAAGGACTCGAAAAAAACACCAAAGATGCGCCTCTGCAAGGCGTTCGAGTTTCAGTGGAAGGGTACGTGGTAAGGAGCCAATCAAGGACAAGTGGATAACGAACCTGGTAAGGGAAAGAACAGAATATACTCCGGTCCAGTACGAGGGGAGGAGAGATGAGCAAGTACTGTACGAATATGTGTGCAGAAATGGACGAGGGTTACCTTAGTATCAACGTGATGACCGGACCTAGGAGTCTAACTACAGTAGTAACCAGGGTCTCATACATAGACCTCGTCAAGTGGACGCCAAAGTCGCAAGGTGTAAGGGTCCGAACACGCAGTTTGTGTGGAGCCACGGTGAACAGCCATCCCGCTCACCGTACCCCGTACCGCGTACGAACCTGTCAACTACGGTCGATGGAGGGATGGTACGCTCGAGTCTTGCCGTCTTGCAACCGCGGCGTCGTAGGGTAGGAGGGATGAGGAGGAGGGGGAGGAGGGCTTAGGACTTAGGACTGTAGGGTAGGGCTGGGCCGAAGGGCCAAGGCCGACGAGCAGGGAGGAGGAGGAGGAGGAGAAGAGAAAGGGTCGCACGTCTCACACGAAGAACAGCGGAGAGGCTCTCCGGAGGGAAATCTCGACGGCCAAAATCCGCGCGTGGGGCAGAGCCCAACAGGGAGAGGTAGGCTCGGGCCGGGTCCCACGACGGGTCCGAGTCCCGAAGGCGTGAGCCAGTCGCGCTCGTCTTGCTCCGACGAACATGCGCGTCCCACATCTCTCCCTCCCCAAACTGGAGGAGACCGGCGTTCCGCGGCTTCGAATCCGTTCGCGTTTTCTGAATCGTCCGATTCCGATCGGATCCTCGGATCGCCGCTCGGCGTCTTGGGCTACTCCATCGGGCGAATGTGAGCCGTAGATGAGGTGGAACTGATTTTAGAGATTATGTTGTCTCTCCGATAGTCAAAATACATGCGTCTCTAAAATAGCGGAACGCAGCGAGCGGAAGGGCACAATTCCGTTATAGCGAAGTTCTTCCCCCTTTTGGGCTTTCTTGTTTCCCGCACTTATTGCGTGCGGGGGGTCTCATGAAGAGGACATCCAACGGCCTTTCTCGCCACATCAGCAAGTCAACCACCATCTGCGCGCTCGGCCCTCCAACGGCGCGCACGCCGATGCCGTCCATCGGCCCGCGATCCACCCGACCTGCCACCTCGGCCGCCATGTCACCAACAACTAGTCTTGTCGTCCACCACTGTCTCCGCTTTCCCACGTCGGAGAATGTCGCCCCGTCCGAGGCCTCCGATCTCCAACGGCGCATCGCCCTCCGCCATCGATCCCCGGCTCCCCGTCCACGTCATTGTCCACGTGGTCGGGCCGGGGATCATCCCGCATCGTCTCCGACCAACGGGTATATGGGACGCGCAGCGCCTCGGGCGCCGACACGTGGCCGGGGGCAGTCGATGCGATGAGTGGGCCGTTCGGGGCCGGAATAGCGCGGGAGCAGCGCAGCCTCTCTCGCCGCAGCCTGGTGACATGCTGCAGCAGCTGCCGCTGCCCCTCTGCTGCTGCTGCACGGCACAATCCCATCCATTTCCCAGAATCTAAAATAACGGGAAACTGCAAATTGTGGCGTGTGTTTGGTGGGAGCTTTCAATGGCTTTGATGTGACGACCCAATTCCCGCAGATCGTCCGTCCGGCGATTCCTGCTTTGCTTTGCCTGCCTCCTCTCATCCCCTCTCCTCTCCTCTGGAATTCGGTGTACTTGCGCCGTGCCAATTTGGAGGAATTCCGTAGCTTTCGGTGGCAGGCAAGGCTTGCGATGCGATGCGAGGAGCGATGATAGATATATCGATTGGTGTGGGGATGCGTGCTGCAGCATTCTTGTAGCGACGTTAGAAGAGGCTGGCTGGCTGGCTGTTGCATGGCATAGCTTTGCGTCGCACTCCGGTGGGATTGCATTGTGTGGCGTGCTGCTGCTGCTGCTGTCTCTCCCAGACCGAAGAACGAACGAGTGAGCGAGCGGGCGATCGAGATCGCGGTCGCCGCGAAAAGAACAGATAACACCAGTGCAGTGAGTGAGTGAGTGCGGTTGTCAGACCGACAGACAGTCATCAGTCAATCATCCCAGTTGTTTTCGGTTGCACAGTGCTGTTGAAGAATCGAGATCTGGGTTGTGACTGTACTCTTCGGGTTCTCTTTCTCTCTTTCTTCCTCTCTCTCTCTCTCCCCCTTCCTCTCGTCTTTGTTTCCTAAAGCTGCGCTTCCTCTCCCACCACCCACTCCACTCAACTCGTTTCGTTCCAGCCCCGTCTCTTTCCTCTCTAGGACTATTGCATTGTGCTATTCCAGTCCTCTCATCGATTCGTCGAACATTTCTCAACTGGATTCTGAGGTGAGAAGGAAGAGAGGGAAGAGAGGGAAAACAGAAGTACCTAGTGAGAACATCCGTCACAGCCTCGATTCCGATTGGCGTAGAGAAATTGGAGTGGAGGAAGCCTTGACTTGGTGTTGCGTGGAAGAGCCATGAGTGTCTTGCGCCTGTGCACGAGCTCCTGATCCTCAGCATTGTCGGAAATGACAGTCCTCTCGTCGCGGAGCGCTGCAACAATTTATTTCCTGCTGCAAATCCGATAGACAGCATGCTGCGAGTCTTCCTCCGGGGCGATGGCACTGTCACCTGCCAATAAGGATCCAGTTCCTTGTCATTTCTTGTTCCTTGTTCCTGTTTAGGAGTTTGTTGTCGTATAAAAATAGCCACGAGTCCATACCGTCATTAATCAATCGGGGAGCTTGTCGACTCGTCCCGCATAGGTTTCGGCAGGCGTCCAGCTCAGTTGTGCAAATTGCCCAAAGTCCGATAGCGTGCAGTCAACGAGACCGCCACCCCGAATCCTGTGAGAATCGAGCCCCGATCGAATTCGTCTGCTAGACGCACGCCCTGCATTTCCCGTGGCCCGTCTGCTGCTCGCCAATTGTCTTCGGGAGAGAGGCCACTCCATTCCACTCCTCTCTCGGAGCATTGTGGTAGTTGTGTGCACGAGCTTCGCCGAAGACGAGCAGCAGCAGCAGCAGGACCTCGAAGGCTGATCAAATTGTCAACGGTTATCGAAGGCACCTCGACGACCGTTGGCAGGAGCGTGGGAAGGCACAGGATATCACAGCGGCAGACGAGCGGCGGGCGAGCATTGAGGGCGGCATTCTTGGAGAAGGAAGGGTGCAAGCATGGGGAGTTGCTGGTCGCGAGATGCGGATGCAGAGGAGCACGAATGGAAAACGGAGATTCCCAAGGCTTCGGCCGTGGCACCGGCGTCGGATTCACCATCGACGCAGAGCCCGACGAAATCGGCCCCGGCAGTAGTTGTGGCGATGCCGCTGCCCATGCAGAAGAAGATACAGATACAAGAGGAGCAAGAGATAAAGGAGGTGAAGTCGCTCAGACTGTATGGCGATCCAATGTGCCCGCTCACGATGCAGATTCTGTTGGCATTGCGCTACAAGGACGTGCACTACGAGTGTTCTTGGTTGGACAAAGAGTGGACGCAGAAACAGGAATGGGCCGCAAGAAATGGCTCGGAGTTGAAATTGGCCGTCTTGCAACACGGCAGGGACAAGATTTCCGGGTCGCCGGACGCCATTCTGCAGTACATCGAATCCAGTTTCCCCGACAAGCCTCTCGTTCCGCAGGGCGAGTACGTCGCTAAGAAAGTCGAAGAATGGACCGCGTATCTGCGTGATACTCTCGGCCCTCTGGTGTCTCAGCTGCTGTACGACGGCGAGCCTTCCATTCAAGAAGAGCTGGCTCCGGAGCTGGATCTTGCCCTGGCCAAAGTGAACGGAGGGCTGCAAAAGTTTTATGGCGACGGCCCGTGCTTCTTCGGCGAGCAATTTACCATGGCGGACGTGCTGCTCATTCCGACTCTGGCGCTGCTGGACCCGCTCAAGGAGTTTCGGGGCATAGGAATCTGCTCAGCGTACATTTCGCTTCTGGCCTACAAGAGGAACATGCACAGCTTGCCGGTCTATGCCGCTGCCAAGGTGACCCCCGAGGCTTTGAACAAGTACGTGGCCACCAAGCTGGAGCAGAGGGCGCCCCCGCCGCTTCTAATTCTCATGCTCATGCAGCACCGCAGCATTCTGTGGCACTTCAACAAGCTCGTCCTGCTGGTGGACGAGCTTCTCAAAGGCGTCCAAAGTAAAGCCAACTACTCTCCGGCTATCGGCATCCCTCAACTCAAAAGGCTGTGGAAAGGCTACGGACGACTCGTGGAAGTTCTGCAAGAACACGCTCAGATGGAGGAGCGTGTTATTTTCCCTGCCATCGAGCATTATAACCCAGGTCTTTACTCCTCCCGAAATTCTCCTTGCCTTTCTCTGTGTTTGACCGCCACTCTTCTTTCTTCTTTCTTCCCTTTTTCTTGGTGGCAGCATTTATGAACTTAAAGCGCCCTCCCTCCCTCCCTCCCTCCCTCCCTCCCTCCAGGAATGTAATTCCTTCGGCTGAGCTAGAGAGAGAGAGAGCACTCGATGGAAGTCACGGGTCTTGGATAATTTATTCGTGCGGAGAAGAACGATGTTACATACTCATCATTGTGCTCCTCTGAGGACGGGATTCGTGTCCACGTGCGCTTCCTTTCTCCTCGTAGAGAGAAGCCAATTCGGAAATCGGGCCCTGAATCCCGAGGATGGAAACCGGGACTAGAGATTCGATTCATCGTTGAGCTCTGAACCCCGACCGCAAATTTCACATGTGCCGCTGCGCTGCTTCAGGCGAACGCTTTTTTAGTAGGAGATCGTGTGACGATGACGAAGATCCTCCGATGGAAATAGCGCCTCGACGTGGTACGAGGAATCGAGAAGAACGTCGTACGATGGGACTCCGTCGATGTAGTCTCGCTTCGGAAGGGCCGGCTGGGCCGATCAACAGGCGAGTGCGAACAAGAGGGCCGTCCGGGTGCAACGTCCGCAATTCCTCGCAACGAGGAATTTGGTCGCATTCGATCGCCGACGACGTTTCTCGATAATTAGGATTCCTTCGTCCCCAGCATCGGCACGATTGCAATTGTCTCCAAATCGCTGACCCGTCTGCATTGCCGTCTCCCGCACTGTCAGTGCGGGAGACGGCAATGGTCGTATTGTATTGTTCAGTATTGTCGTTCGGTGATCGACAATCTCTGAGTAAGATGCATCTTCACCATGGGCAAGATCAGTTCCAGATAGACGATCACTTCTTCGTGCTGTTTTGGACGTGACGAGTATTTCATTGAACAGCGTACCGTCGAGACTCGGACGACCTCGAGCGCGAGGTCGGTCGTTGTTTGGTCCACCATTTCGTGGGGGAAGATGGCCACTCACTCTTTTCCTGGTTCCCGAGAGCGATATGTCGAGACCCAATGGGCGCAGAAGTTGACGTAGTTGTCCATCCATCTCGTTCACAGCAGAGTAATGCATCGAGGACTTTCTGGGACGTGCTCATGCTTGCCTATTTGGCTCTAAATGGATAGTCCTCTACGGAGAACATTGTCTATGTACACTCAAAGGGCTCGACCTTAAACCTTCGTGAAATGTGCGAGAGTATGTGGCGTCGCCCACATCATTTTTGTCATACAGGATTTGTGCTGCTGCGTGATGAGCTGCACGTGATCTTTTATACTAAGTTCCACTCGTTTGGGAAATTCTGGAGAATACAGCACATCAGATATCTCTGCTCTAGTGCTAGGCACTGCCTGGAACCTGGACTTGCATTGTATCTTTGATCCTCGTCAAACCTGCAGAAAGCTGGGGCCGTGATGCTTAACAGTTCGATGGTGGAACTACTGTCATGTTCTAATTTTTCTCTGGATCCTGTCTACAGGTGTGACGCAGGAGGCGAATGCGGATCATGGAAGGGATCTCCCGATCACTAATGGAATAAGGGAGGAGATAAAGTCCCTGGTGTCTCTAGATCAAGGCACTGCTGACTACAGTGAATCACTTGTTAATCTTGCCACCCGCTTGCGAACACTACAGGTCAGTTTCCTCTTCACCTTGTATGGCGAGTTGTCGTTTGCACAAGCATCGGTAAGAGTCGCTTTCGTATCTTTCTGAGTATTATCGTTATTACTGTAAATTTCTACCCGTCTTATTGTTCTTAAGTACATTTGGTTCGGTGGGAATCAAGTAAACTGTCGCGCGGATCGTCTGAATATCCTGATCATGATATTGCTTTTGAACTAGACACGCGTAGAAACGACTGTCACATTTACTCAAATTGCAGTTAGAACCAGTGAACAATAGTTTCGAAGTAGAGGTAATTCTCTAAAGATGTCTCGTCAACTGGCTGGCTAGGACGTATGGTTAGCCAGAGCTGCATCACCTTCACTGCACGAATAATAGGCTTGTTACATTATGCCGGAATGATCTGAAACCTGATTTTGATGAATCGATTCTACACCCCCGTATCATATTTATATCCTGCAGATGAACACTGAAGAACATTTTCAAGAAGAAGAAAAGGAGTTTTTACCCCTGTTGGACTCGGCTGCCTTTGGAAAGGAGCAGGTGGAACCAATGGTGACTCATTGCTTGGGAGTGATGGAATCATCACACGGGCACTTGCTGCCCTTTTTCCTTTCGGGACTGAATGCCCAGGATATGTACCAATACATGATGGTACTGCACAAGAGCCTGGCAGAATCGAAACCGTCTCTATTCACACGAATGCTACACGTTGTGCGAAACGCAGACGATGAGTTCCAAGATGTAAGGAGAATCGTCCAAGAAAGATTCTCGACGTTTTCTCCGTTCAAGATGACCACCGCTGGTGCCTGAGCTAACATCACCTTCTCGCTTTAACAGCAAAGCAGCCATTCGTATCCACGCATGTGTGGAGTATGAGAAAATGGCTGGTTGTTTGTTTAAAGGGAAGCCGGCCTCTGTGAACTGCACCCCTGCTGAAAATAGACGGGGTTCACACATTGTCTTCAAGTAGCCTCCTGATTCACCCCATCCAAAACATCTTGAGCTAAGATGCTAGATTTTATTTCACAACACAGCCAGACACAGAATTGTGTCACAGGTTTTTTCGCCAGGCAGAAGGGTGCATCTTGACCACATCGTGTGCAAGCACTGGCACGTGGCTGTCGAACAAGGTAATTGTGCACTACGCGCACCAGCACAACTTCACTTTTAATCAACCATGTATTTGTCCAATCGTCAATTGCTCTTGATAGACAGTGAGAAAGGTTCACTGCATAGGGAGCGAAGCCTGCGAATGTTGGGCAGATGGGGAAGAAGTTCACGTGTTAGCATCTTTCTAGAGAATCGCGAAGCGGGGCTGGACTCTCCTCTGGTATTAGGCACTGAGGACAGGTAGAGATTAGAGATGAGAAAACGGAAGGGGAAGGAAGCATGCTTAACTTCACATGCATTCTTTGGTGCTATTTTCCTTGGGCACCAATATAGAGTTTGTATATTGACCTGCAATGTAACATGTTAATGGTTCATCTGTAGATATTAATTAGAGCTGAGCCGAGAGCAGCAGGGGAGAGGGGTTTTAAGACTCCTAATTGCTTGTAATATGCACAAATGTCTCTTTAGATGCAATGAAAAATTCCATTAATCTGGATATCATCAAGAAATTGAATAAGTGCACTAAATCGTTTCTGTACCTTGTACTGTCCCAAAACTTCATTGTTGCGAGCAACTTTCACCAACGTGTGTGCATCGTGTATCAAGTGGGCCTGTCCCGCGGCAGATCGCAGGCAGTTAGCTATCGGGAGGAAGTGTCCATCTCCAAACAGCACCCTATGGTGCTGTCTAAGGGAACCTCCTGCTCTGTAAGAGCACTACTACTCACCATCTTCTTGGGAATGAAATTCTGGTGTTGATATGACTCACTTGAACTATTCATGCCTTCGTTTCTATTCCAGGATCCACGGTTCTTCCAAATTGGCAATTTTCCTATCAAAGGTAGTGGATAACCAATGCCAATTTGGTTGCCATATATGCATGTATACGTCCCTTCGTTTATAATGCGGACCTGGCTGTGTACATTTTGCCTCACTCTGGAAAGGCCTTCTTTACCTTTTTACTGTAATACTGCTGTTATGGTCTGATAATCAGCTTCTATAATGGAGTTCAGAAGGACGTGGATAGGATTTATACTAATTCGGTGGTTTTGATGAAGGAACTCTGACGATTATATGTCAGCTCTGCCCGCATGTCCACGCGGGTACCTCCTCACACGTTGGAGTACATTTAGTTTACAGTACATATTTAGCTAGACCTTCGCCTTTGTATCTACCTGTGTTGTCTGCTGAATATTATACAACTAGAGGTAGCAGCACTTTTGCCGTTTAATAAAATCGCTTTGGATGAAATGTACAGTTGTGCTTACTAGAGTCGTTAGTCTATTACCATTTACCATTTACCATTTAGGTAGATTTTTAGTATACCCGCCCGTTTTCTTGCAACCCCGTAGGGGGTACCCCAAGTCACCCACCCTTTGTGATGCTGTACGTCCTTAATTCCTCTTCTAGATGAGAAACCGTGAATGGATATTCTTCATAGGATAAAGAAAACTTTTTGTTCGTTTTTGCATAGCAAGAGTACGATGGGAACGAAATTGTTTTGGAATCCTGAAGTCCAGTCCAGCTTTTTCAGTCCCTCTCGGCAAAGCTGCATGGCGAACATTCCCCGGCCCCTCCTCATCTTCGAGCTCAACACCTGTTCGAGCCGGGCCCATGTGGTGGATGGCAGAGACAGTGACTGCTGCGAGCTACTTCACGTTACATGGCCTGCCTTCATGTGCACTCCGCGTGCACTCTGGAAGGACTAAACTCCGAAAAGAACAAACCGGAATCCAACTGGGGCATCTTTGACCTTAAAGGGTTCCTCAATTGGGATCTGTAAAGCAGTCGAATTTAGTTCCCCACTTTCTATGATACGTGAAAGACGAGCATGAGTGAGTTGGATCGGTGGGACTGTGAGTGCGAGTGCCGAGTCAACCTTTAAGGCACCTGTCGGAAGCTGAATGTCCAGAGCGGTCGATGCAACCGCATTCAATTCTTAAAGCCTACATCCACATCCTGACTTAAGGAAGAAAACTATGTATTATCCCCACAGCAGTCGAGCCGACTGGCACGGACGTTCCTTCTCTGCCTTCATCAATGCCCTGAAAGTTCGATAATCAGTCCATCATCGATGCACTTCTTCTTCGATTGATGTCATCTGCAAGTGCACTTTCACACACGCCGTTACATGCGTACATGAGCGACTTGTCCATGTGAGTGAAATTTTCTGCGGATCCACTTTTAGCTCTGAGGCACGCGACATGTCAATTCCAAAAAACTTAAGGCCACCGCTGTTATACCTGTCTCGGTGCGCCCTCAACTGGCTGGCTGGCAGTTAGGCAGGTACCCAGAGGGATGCAAACTCTACATATGACAAAGTGGTAGACAGACCGAAGAAGGTCTCAAATCCTTCGATTCCTCCCTCCACCTGAGCATCTGGGCACGAGAAGGAAACTCGGGCAGGAAAGGCGAGTTCCAGGGGCGGTCACAAGACTGCTCTCTGCCCGCATCCTTACGGGAGTGAGTGGATCGTGCAACTCAGGCTTTCCAGAATGCTTCTCAAATGCCAGCAGCACCGGATTCAATACGACTGTTTGAAGCCCAGTCTCGGAGCTGATTCACAACAAGTCAACAACCCTGTCCGATAATTAAGTTTCTGGATTTAATCGAGCTCAAACAAACTTCAAATGCTAAATTCGATCGAGGTGGAGTCCCCCCATTCCCATCCACACTCGAAGATCGGCGAGCCCGGTCAGTGATGATGATAATATAAAATAGAAGAGTAGAGTAGAGTGGTGTGGATGAGAGGATCCAGTTGGGACTTGCATGAACCCATGTCACCTGCGTAATTCTCATCAGCAGGGCTCGGATCCTCGACGCTCGTACAGGGTAAACGCGTGTCGAGAATGTGAGGCTGGGTACGACGTCGCACGGGCAATCGAGTAGTGCGGTTCTGTTGGCCGGTCCTATCCTGACGGGAGGAGCTCCCCAAGAGCACTGGGCTCGTGATCTTTTCAATCATGGCTGTCAGGCGAGAACGGAGGAACCAGAGACGACGAAGCTGATGACAGAACGATAGATAGATAGATAGATAGAGCGACGGATAGATCCCTAGGCCCTTATAAAATTATTCTCCAACATCGGAAGCTGAATCTGAATGCGGTTCTAGCTGCTGACCGAGGGCGAACTACTCGGCCTTCATATTTATGGCCAGAAAGTAGATTCTCGTAACTGAAGGCCCCTGATGGTGAGCTACTTGCTTCCTTCGTCCCTAGGGGCCACGGGAGGGGGTGAATTCTCGGTGTGCATCTCGCTCGGCACGGAGTAATCATCGATCGATCAGATATTTCGCCGCACGCTCACATGTCGCCCTTATCGCCATGTCGCGACCGGTATCGGCTACGCTCTGGTGCCGATGGCAGACATTCATCAGAAAACGAATTTCGGCCTCGGCGCCATGTGGGTTTCTTCACTGGGGCTCGGTGTCAGACGAGGAACGTGGTGAAAGGACACGGGATTAGGATTCCGGATCAGCCACTGCTGTTGGCGCAGAAAACATAATGAAGTCGATGGCGATGTCGATCCCTGAGGCCGAGGCTTTTCGCGCAGCAGCAGCAAGAAGACAAGCTCCGCGCGCCTTTCCAACTGGGAACACGAAGCTGTTTGTCTTCAACTCGGGCTGCTTAGGGTTGATGATCGTCAATCATGGTCTCGAGCACTTACTCCGCGAGCGAGTTCCCGAGCTCGGGACAGGAAGAAATCAAGAACGAAGGTCGGCCTTTCCTTCCACTTCTTGCAGCGGGTGCTGATTCTGGGGCTGCTGACATGTGGGGCAACGGGGACTCGGGCTCACTGGACGGACGAGCGCTGTCAGATGGACATGGAGCGAAAGTGCGGATCTTGGCAAATGATCATTATGTAACACAGGAAGCGGAGGCCGCGAGTGCAATGTCGATTGCAATTCTAGCCTTCGGGTGCGTTCATGCGTAATCAGCGAGTAGATAGAATCTTCGAGCACGCTCACTCACCCAGTCAGTCCATCACTCCGTTTGTCTCGAACTCGGCTTCGGGCTAGGGTAGACTTTATGATCATGAGCGCCAGCAACCAGATGTAATTTGGTTGGATGTACAGGATCTTTGTGGCCCACTTTTGCCAGCTGCAATCCTGGCTGCTCCATCTCGGGCCCGATGATGGCTGGCTGGTGCTAGTGCTGGTGGGGGCCCCCCTCGAGAGAAATGTGCTCGCATGCATGACAAAACCCCCGTTTCCGCTGCTGCTGCTGCTGCCGCCGAGGGGTGCAGGCCGAGCTAGCTACGCATCGACCCCGCCTCTCTCTCTCTCTCTCTCTCTCTCTCTCTCTCTCTCTCTCTCGTCCGTCTGCATGGACCTTGAGAAGGTAAGAGATGCAATCCTCGACGCTCGTCTCGTCGTCGTCCCTTTCAACTCATCCGAAGACCAAAAGTGGCCCGCTGCCATTTTTAGCGCTCGCAGTTTTGTCGAGGTCGATTTTGTCCGTCGCTCGCTCCACGTGAACGGGGCGTAGCCACTCGCGCTTTTGGTCCCGATGCTCCTCCGGCCCTAGCGACGCTAGCTGCTCCTCCTCCATCACCAGACCCAGTCCCAGAGCTAGCTTCACATTCTCTCTTTCTGTTCGAGGGGAGGGGAGGGAAGGAGAGGAGAGGACCACCGTCTGACGGGGAGGCCGTGTCTCGGACATGTGGAAACATCGCAAGGGGAATATGCGCGATTGAATCCGAGGGAGAGGGGAGGCGACCTAGTGGCGGACATGGAGGCTACGTCACGAGGGAAGGGATTATGACGGACATTAAAAGCTCATGCGGACACGGGCAAGTGGGGAGCCTCGCCTCGGCCGGATTTCTGCCTGGTGCGGCGATGGGGAGCAAGGTCTGGGGCACGCACGACAAAGGTCCGAAGCAGAGCGCCCGACCTTGTGCGCAAAAGCCCCCATCGCTGGGAAGATAACGCAGCACACAAGACGCAACACGCCATCCCAAGAACTGTGCCGAGCCCCCGACGGTCAAAAGCCAAAAGAAACTCCGCAAGATTCTACCGCAGATAATGATGTGGAAAGTTAATGTTGTGAGATCTTGGTCCTTGGCCTGTCTGTCGTTCGTTCTCGGTTTCTGGCACCGAGCGACGCTCGCTGACATATCCGCCCCTGCCATTCTTGGATTACTCTCTCTCTCTCTCTCTCTCTCTCTCTCTCTCTCTCTCTCTCTCTCGGATGGATGGTTGGATGGATAGAGAACCGATCAACAAGCGAGGCTACGAGAGTGAGAAAAACCGGGGAGAAAAACCGATCGACATTTCACATCTTTCTCTTGTTTTGCGGCATCCGATCACGTCTCAGTGCATCGCTCTTGTTAACACCAGTGAGCTTTTCGGTGATTGCTGGTGGATGCATTGCCACCCTACCTTGGAAGTTGGAACACAACTCTCGTGGATGCTTTTCTTGCTTCTACGTCGATCGATCGATCGAACGAGCAAGTGGAATGAATAACGATGGGCATATTCGGCATATTCAGAATGTTCTCATCGATTAATCTAATCCGCTCTT